AAAAAATATTCCTTAGTACAACTTCCCTGACTTTTAGCTCACCAATGCAGTATTCCATTTTCTTTTACCGTCTTCATAATAAGTCTCCATGATCATCCTGTGTATTATTTTAATCAAGATTACTCCTTTGAAATTCCCAAAAATAGTCATATAGTCTTGAGTTTAACTGACTTGGGAGAGTCTCTTGGGAGCCACTGTTTGAACTTTTTTTTGAAAGCATCCTGATGAGACTAAGACAATGAGAGAACATGTCTGCAGCTATTCATTGATCTCAGAGACATGTTTAAATACATTGTCTTTAGAATACACACTTACATGTATGAACTAGAACTGTAGTAGCAATATGTTGTTGTTTTTCTGTTTTTTTTTTTTTTTTACTTATGCTCATAGCTTGGCTTGAACCACAAGGTCGGCAGTTGAAGCTCACCAGTCGCTCCTTGGAAACAGGGTTGCTGAATCATAACTGACTCGATAACACTTAACAACAATAACATATTCGTTCTACTATAAAGGATAATAAGGAGCCCTGGTGGCGCTGTAGGATAAGCACTGGACAGCTAACTGCAAGTTCAAACACATCAGTCAGTCTGCAGGGACTGATGAGGCCTTCTGGTTCCGTAAAGATGAACAGTCACAGAAACCCTATACAAGGTTGCTATAAGCTGGAGTCAACATGATGGCAGTGGGTTTGGTTTGGTTTGTTTTTTTGGTTGTAATCAATGGCAGAATAATTTGTGGGAGAATTAATTGTAATTAATTATAATTATAGGTCCTTTACATGTGCCTACAGGGCTAGGTTCTTTGAACTGACTGAAAATAAAAACTTTGGGAGTTGTAGAAAGAACTTATTCTAGGCAGTGGAGTCCTGGTGTGACACTATAGGATAAGCACTGGACTACCAACCATAAGGTTGGTGGTTCAAATCTACTACATGTTCCTCAAAAACTGTATACATTTCATAATAAGTCAGTACTGATTCTATGACATTTAAAAACAGGCAGCGGAAGATGATTGTTTACCTAAAAGACGTAAGTCAGAATATAACAATTGATTCATGTTGATGAAAGGGAAATGAGTGAGTATACATTGGTTGTTAATACCTATAAATTACCATTATAAAATTTACATCTTTGTCTCCCACACTCTCCAAGTACCCTACAGGACCTCCATTAAGGTTTGACAGTTTTTTATTAATTTTCAATATATTAGTCTTGTCATTTAAAATTCTAATTTATAATTTTTAAGATAAAGATTATTCATCCTATTAATATCCTTTTATTTTTATAGCTATACTTTTATTGTCCATTTAAAGAGGTTTCCCTTCTAATAGCAAGCATTTAATTAGTAAAATTATTCACTGTTCATATACATGTTTTGCTTTATTCTACAGGTTCATTTCTGATTAGAAAATTTGATAAAATTTGTCTTAAAAAACTTTTATTGGAAAAGCTGAAAATATATTTTATGAGCATAAACAATTATAAGTCTAGTTTGAACTAACATCTCTATATACACAGCATATATTATATACAATTTCTAAGAGCATGTGCTCATTTGGGCAACATTAAAACTGCTTATCCATGTACTACCAATGTCTGCATTTGAGTTTTTATTACATGCTTATATAATACTGTACAAATAAAAATATAGGTTGTAAGCAGTCACAGATCACTCTTAAGCGATTCTAAACTTTTCTTAAAGTATCCTTAACTGTATGCATAGTTGATGATAGTAAAATAATTCAACTGTTGTTGTTGTTGTTGTTAAGTGACATCTAGTTGATTCCTACCCATAGAAACCCCATAGAGGGTTCCAAGGAGTGGTTGGTGAGCTTGAACTGCCAACCTCATGGCTCAAATGACTTTGCAGTCCAATGCTTTAACCCACAGTACCAAACTTATTTTAGTTAAGCTCATATAGGGAAGAATATTTAGAACTCTGCAATTTCGTGAGTTAATAATATCAGAGACCAATTTTAAAAATAAAAAAATGATTCATATAAGGAATATATGTGTAAATTGTAGTCATAGAAAAATCTATAGTCTACATAAAAGGAAACAGGAGAGTGAATGAATGAATTCCTCATACATACACAAGACAACACACTAAAATGCTTAAATGAAATTAGGCAGAAATGTTACCAAACCTGGGAAATATAAACATGGCTGCAAAAAAATTAAGAAAGAATGGAGAAAAAAATCAATTATAATAAATGACAAAAATAGAATCCTCAGTGATTTATTTTCTAAGATAATATCATTGTTAAAGAAAATTTCAGTATGAAATTTGATTGCATGTACAAGTTTCCCATGCAAACTAAATATCTTATTAATTGCTTTGCTCATGAAACTTTGTAATTTTGTAGTAAAATTATAGATTACCATAGTGCTTTACAATTTACAAAGACTTTTCTCATCTTTGATGTCCTTTGGTAGTTTAAATATTTAAAACATTGTCTAACCTGAAAGGAAAAATTGAATAAGGTCTTTAAACACATAACTTTGGTATAAATACTGTGATTCATTATTGAATAATGGTCATTAACACTATATTACCTCAATAAATATATACACATATATATGTGTACATGCACGCAGAGTGAGTTAAGATAGCAATGCTCTTAGAACAGTATCTGCTCATCTAAGACTCAGGTATCATTATCATCAACATCGTCAGTTAATACACATATATTTTACTCAAGTACTGCTGTGCATAAGGTCGCTATGGGTCGGTACCGACTCGATGGCACCTAACAACAACTATCTTCATAAAATGCTGAAAGATATTTTCTGTCAACACACAATATTTAAGAGTAAATTAGTAGCAAAATAAACATTCAGATGACTGAAAATATATCTTAGTGTAAGGGATACATGTAGGGAATTAAACTAATAGAAATGGTGAAGTATTTAAAATATTATATAGTAAACAAAAGAAAGAGTTCTCTGTCTCCTCTTTAGAAACTTAAATGCATGAAGGCAAACAAAGACAATGTGAAGTGATAAAAATAAACGAAGTACAACACATAATGAAGTATTTTGGCTAAAGAAGCCATTACAGAATAAATATTTGAAACTTAAAATGTAAAGAATTCAACAGGGAGAAACTACAATGAATAGCAAATTAGCACAATATTTTAAAAATTCAGTTTCACTAGAGTGAAAGTTTGGATATAGTTTTTCATTCATATGTAGTCAGTTACTATAAGAAATAATTATAATAAACAGTGAAAAATAACCATGACAATAAAGCAATTGGAATTGTCAAAGTAGAAGGTAATGTAAGTGCATGGCAGCATTTTTACAAAGGTGGGTTATATGTATCCCAGTATCCTTTATTTTAATAGTCCTGGTGTGGTGCTATAGGATAAGCACTTGACCATAAGGCGGGTTTGAACTGAAAGTTCTGTGGTTCAAACTCACCAGTAGCTCCTCACAAACCCTATGTAGGGTCACTATGAGTCAGAACCGACTCCATGGCACTGAACAATAACAAACATTTTCTTTTTAGAGGGGGAAGTAAAAGTGACCTGAGATCTGAGACAATTGACCAAATAAACAAAAATAACAGGATACGGTGATGGTCGTGGTGGTTATGTACTGCGGAGTCGGTTCGGACTCATAGCGACCCTGTACAGGGTTTCCGAAGCTGTAAATCTTTATGGGAGCAGAAAGCGTCATCTTTCTCCTGCAGAACAGCTGGTAGTTTCCAACTGCTGACCTTTAGGTTAGCAGCCAGTAGCTTTGGTGGAAAAAGAAGCTATGTGAAGGAGTGAAGCTTCAGAGTTTTGTTACATTCTATCATATTTCTTAAGATGCCTGCTCAACAAAATTTATTTAATCAAATATTTATGACACCTTTCTATTTGCCAAGCACTGTACAGATTCTGCTGAAAAATAAAGATAAAATAATAGTGTTGGTCCTGAAGAGAAATCCTAATTTATAAGTACACAAGTAGTCTTTCAAATGATTATACTTTTCTATATGATTTAGGAAGGCACTCTGGTGGCATAGTGATTTCAAATCGGGCTCCTAAACTCAAGGTCAGAAGTTCGAAACTACCAGCTGTTCTGTGGGAGAAAGATGAGGCTTTCTGTTCCTGTAAAGATTTACAGCCTCAGAAGCCTATGCAGGTGGCTATGAGTCGGAACCGACTCCACGGCACACCACCACCACCACATGACTGAGGAAAAAACCACGTTTGTAAACCTTCTGACATTCAGATAAACCACTGACAAACATGGTTCAAGTACTGAACAAGAGACTTCATTAGAATATGTTTAATGTTGTAATTTGAAAATAACAAACAAAAACTTTACAATTGCTTTATAATCATCAATTACTCTTCAAATATATGCATGGAGCCAATTAGAGATTATTAGAGTTTTAACAGTTGTAGAGGGAAAAGATAATCTTTAAAGACTTTGAGTACATTATATAAAATAAATGGATGAGTGATTTCATTCTTAAGCATTTCATTACAATTCAATTTATAGACAAATGACAAAAATGAACACAAAAAAATGATGTGAACAAGAAGAATGAAATGCCTTTTAAATATAATAATCAAGGCTGTTATGATACATATATGTAAGCAGTTTATAGGATTTTTAATGTGAGAAGATGTCATGGATAGAGAAAGTAGCACGACCTGAAATCTCTCCTAAAAATGATGAATGAGCATATATTGGCAGCAATCAATTTCTAAGTCACCTGTGAGGATCTGATTAAAGGCTTGCCTACCTTTCCTGATCCCTCCATCGGAAGCACACGTGTAGTCACCTGTTGTTAGTAGGAAACATGTTTCCCCTCTTCTGTTTTTGTCTCTGGTACTAGAGCGTCTGATGGGGAGCCGTTCTGGGGGTGATAATGGCGGCTCACTTCCTGTACTGTCGTCACCTGATAACACTGGTCACAGCACCATGCCCATGGACAGACAGTGACGAATGAGGAAATGAGACAGTACAAAGAGTTTACACCAAATGCCCGTAGTCCAGCCACTCCATATACAAAACACAATAATCACATCACGATACGAAAAGAGAAAGAATTTTCATCACTCATCAAAAAAATTTACATGGAACAAAATGGATATATGTATAAAGAGAAAGGTCTGTTTTTTGAGAAATGTTCATCTCATTTTGTATTTTACCTAATAGGAAACTGGTTTTCACAAAATTAATATGAACTCAAAATAGGTGTGCTAAATAAAACTAATATGAACTCAATTAAAATATTAAATTTGTAATAACTCAATCTTACTACTTTTGACTCGCTATCTCATTAGTGTGAATAGGAATCTTTATAAATGGAGCATATTACCGAAAAAAAACTTAAATATTTGTCTTTATAATTCCTTTACAATATGTGCTTTTATTATTTTTTTAAAATTATTTTTCTCAAAAATCTTAATAAAAATAATCCCAAAACACTAACTTCATGTTAGGTACTACATTTTTAAGCTAAAAATATTTTGAACTTAACAATGAAATAAGATCACTTTTCTAAATGCCCTTAAAATAATTATTTACCTTTGTGTGCTACTCAAACACTTTTGCAGTATATTTATGTTACCCTAGAGACAAGCTTGTTATAACAATGAGTTTCTGGTCAGAGAGTGTGTCCTTTTTTTAATAACCCTGCATAAGGGTTCTGCACAGATCCTCTGATGGGAACACAATACCAAACAAATTCTACATTTTTTAGAGATATTCTTGGCAAAACAGTTTTCAGATATTTATTTAGGAAAAAAAATATTTAAGCAGTCTAAGCAAATTTCTTTTTTAAAAATTTCATTTACCCAATAAAAACTTCTGGAAGTAAAGACAGACCTATAAAAATGTCACTCGTCTCTTGTTTGTTTGTTTTGTTTAATTGATGTTATGTCTGATTGTGAGAAACTACTCATAGTAATGTATATATATATGAGTATATATGCTTCAGGGAATGTACAGGTCTTAAATTTTTCCTAGTAGATGAAAAGCTAATGAAATTAGTTAGTCTATGAAACATTTCTTCTTTACCAGACATAACAGACTAGAGACAATACTTTTCCTTGTCGAACTGTACCACTGGCGAGCAAAATATCAATTTGGAGCCAGTGCACTCTAGATTATTGATGTTAATGGAAAGAACCAGTGAGTCCCCCAATCTGAGGTGGTAAATCATCCAAAATTCAGTTCTGGGAGTGAGCAAAACACAATGTATAAAAACAAGAAATGCACAGAGGAATCAATTTTTCATTGATTATCTAAAGCAGGTCATCTGTGCCCTGACTAATGATGGAATAATTATATTATATGGCATCTTGCCTCACCAAAAGGGTTGTATTAAGATGTCATAACTAATTTAAGAATCTGACAATTTAGCTAATTCTCTAGAATATCACTAGAAAAATAGCTTTGTTGTTAATAGGACTATCTCCCAAATCACCTCTTTGGTCTTTAAACTTTGCAAATGAAAACATCTACTTTTCTTAAAGAACTGCTTTTTATGATTTAAATGGACATGGACACCTCCATGTGGCAGAGGTAAAACTGAGACATGCACACCAAGCCAAACAATATGGATTTCAATATTTTGAGGATGAAAGATGGAAAATGGCAAATATTATTCCATCACATCATGCAGGGAAACAAAACATGGGCACAAAAGCAACAAATGGGCAAAAGAAAATATTGGCACCATCAGCAAAGGACATTCCCACTAAAGCAGGAAAACTCTATAGACCAGCTATACAAACTTCTACTTTAAGGTCATTTAGAAATACTGTAATCTAGTCACCTACAAACCTGGCACACACAGAAATGTGTTGTGAGGGGGCAGGACTTAGAACTGTTGGATATTTGCAGAACATAAGAATGACTGTCTTTCACCTAAAATACTGGTCTATAAAGTATTTGATAGCATGCATTTGACATTGTGTCTTACCTGATCTGTTATGTTCCAGAAGCAGATTGTCTTTGCCTAGACATATGTCACTCTGTGTACTATTGCAGGCCATATTCAATTCTGTCTTGCAAAATGGAGGTGAGCTGGCCTGAGGGGCAGGAGGAATGTGCTTCTTTCTTTTTCTTGGAAGTTTCTGCTTCGCCATTGCCAAGGAGTAGTACATTCCAAAGTTGTTCACAATCACGGGAACTGGCATGGCTATAGTTAGCACTCCGGCCAGAGCACACAGGGCTCCCACCAGCATCCCTGACCAAGTTTGGGGATACATATCCCCATAGCCCAGGGTAGTCATGGTCACTACAGCCCACCAGAACCCAATGGGAATGTTTTTGAACTGCGTGTGCTCGCTAGCTGAAGGATCGTTGGGTTGAGCTCCTACTCTCTCAGCATAGTAGATCATAGTAGCAAATATCAAAACTCCAAGAGCCAAAAAGATTATCAGCAGCAAAAATTCATTAGTACTAGCTCGAAGAGTGTGTCCAAGCACCCTCAGGCCTACAAAATGGCGGGTGAGCTTGAAGATTCTCAGGATCCTCACAAATCTTACCACCCTAAGGAAACCAAGCACATCTTTAGCAGCTTTGGATGAGAGCCCACTGAGTCCCACCTCTAAGTAGAAGGGTAGGATGGCCACAAAGTCAATAATATTCAAGAGATTTTTGATGAATTCAAGTTTATTGGGGGAAAAAACAATACGAACTAAAAATTCAAAAGTAAACCACACCACACATACTCCTTCTACATACGTCAAGGCAGGATCTGTTTCGATTTCGTACTGTAGAACGACACTTGTGCCATTGATGACTGGTTCTGTCTTGTTTCTAACAATATTGAAAGCTTCATGTGTTTCCAGACAGAAGGTTGTAATTGAAACCAAGATGAAGAATAAAGAAGCAAAAGCAATAAACTGTAGGGAAAAAAAAGAAACAAAAATAGAGTGATATAAACCATAAGATACATTGATCATAATCTAAGAACACTGATGTCTGTATATGGGAAAAAAAAAAATACATAGTCCACTTGGAATGTGTGGAACATTAATTACAGTTGTAATATGTTTCAATTACTATTTCCAGCTTACATAGATAAAAAGGTTTGCTTTATAACAGAAGAGAATTTCTTCATTGTTTTATCAAAGAAAATTTATCTGTTAACACAGCTCTGAAAGGATGTTTAAGGGATTCTGACTAAAAACATTAAAAAAAAAAAACCCGAAATTTTATATACTAGCTCTAGATTTTATGATCCTACAAGTCTTCATGTACTAGATGTTTTACATCAATAAATTTAAGATATATTTCACAGTGATAGAAATTTCAAGACCAAATTGATTCCAAACTGTAAAGGTTATATTTATAAACACAAATATAAATAGTATTTATAGATAAAATGTTTAGGATATTACAAGGGGTGAACATGATGGAAAAACTATTTGAGTGATAGATTATGACCTAAATATTATCAGTTTAAAGTGCAGACTTGTCCAAACAGGGAACTCCAGAGAAAGAGTAGACATAAGACTGTGAAGAGAGAAAAGAATTCAGGAATCAGTTTAAAGACAGCTTTCTTCCTCCTGTGAAACATAGCTCCAAAATGTTAGAGTGACATATTAGAAAGCTACAGTTTCAAAATTAAAGTTTCTGTTAATTTCTTCAGTCAATAATATAGACGTACAGAATATAAAGAGCTCCCACTTATATGAGTATATTCTCAATAATACCAGATGTTCCATATGAGAAACAGGTGGCACTTGATTTCCATAAAGAGTACCGTCTTGGAAACCCTACGGGTAGGTTCTATTCAGATTTGTAAGATCACTTACGAGTTGGAACAACTTTGGCTTTGCTTTAATCTTTATGGAAACAGATCATCAGGGTTTCTGTTAAACCCTTAGGTGGGTGTTGCTTTACGTGCTGTTGAGTCCCTTCCAACCCACTGCGATCCTATGTATAACAGAACTAAACACCGCCTAGTCCTCAACCATCCTCACAATTGCGGCTACATCTGACCACATGTAAACATTTTACTGGTAGTCTCTGCTTTTTGCAAAAATTCATCTAACATCAGCAATAATATCCTTATTTCCACATCCTCATCTGAATCTGGTTTGAACCTCTGACAGTTCCCTGTCAATGCACTGTTGCAGTGTTGTTGCTTTTATAATATTCTTTAGAAAAATTTTACTTGCGTGTGGTATTAATGATTTTGTCCTATGATTTCCGCATTCCACTGGGTCACCTCTCTTTGGAATGAGCACAAATATGGATCTCTTCCAATTAGTTGGCCAGGTAGCTGTCTTACAAATTTTTTGGCAGAGATGAGTGAGTGCCTTCAGTGCTATATCAGTATGTTGAAACACTTTAAATTGTATTCCATCAAGTCCTGAATCCTTGTTCTTTGCCATTGCCTTCAGCACACATTGGATGTACTTTTTCAGTAAGCACTCTTTACAATACTATTGTATTGTTTTTGTGTTCTGTGGAGTTGATTCCCACTCCTTATTGTTAAATGCTAAAAAGTTGATTCTGAATCCTAATGATACCATATTGGGTTTATGAGGAGTGGCTGGTGGGTTTGAACTGCCAACCTTATGGTTAGCAGTCCAGTGCATATCCTACAGCATCACAACAGGTAGATCTATAGGTTTCTTATATTTTATGATTATATTTATAGGGTTTCTTAGGTCTTTTGGGGCAAATCTACAGCCAAAGATTGCTGGCGACAGCATACGCCACTGAGAGGCTGAAGCCCTGTAACATGGACGAAAATCCAACTTCAGGGCCCTCCTCAGACTTACGGGCCATGGACCCTGAGGGCCAAGGAAGTAACTGCCTGAAGTTCTGGGTTCATGGGCTTTGGCGAACTCACTGTTTGGCCACTTCTGTGCAATTTTCTTTAATTGTACTTTTGTGCATTCTGTACTTGTCCTTTATGCTCTTAACTCCGGTAATTGTAGCTTCTGGGAAAGTGATTGTTTTCAGTAATAATACGCACAATGTTTTGATCAATGGCTCTCATGTAAATGTCACTGCCGCGGCAACAAGAGTTGTGCATGAGGTTATGAAAAATAAAAGTACAGAGATGTAGCAACGCAGAAAATATGTAACAATTGTTTTCTAACCAATTACTCGGTAATGTTTAATATTAAACAGATACATGAGCTGTTAATGTCTATGTACAACAATAACACTGACACTAGTAGCTACCCCCTGAAGACACCCCTATGTATGTATGTTGTGCTCTTGGTGTTTTTTCATGGGGATCTTGTTGTATATGATAATTTTATGCTCCCCCAAAGTACCTCCGGGTATAATCAACTTAATCTAGATGCTCTTCTTCCCCCCAAGGTATATTGGGAATATAATAGCAATGAACATTGTCATATCTAAATATGGATACCAGAACGGGGTTAAAAGAATGTAAAGGTGAGACTGCACCTTCTTAGAAAAGTCAAAACCTGTTTTTCGCCTTCCCTGAAATTGTAGAAGCAAGGAGGAAAGAATTATTAGTTTGATAATTAAAGCCAGGTATCTGAAATCTTGTTCATTAACAAAAGCATGTATTTTCTGCCTGCAAATGATACAGAGGCAACTTAACTTTCTTTAGAAAGTATAACTTAGATTTTTATAAAAACTCTAAAGCCTCTCACCTTCACCCACTTGTGATTAAGTGTTGAAAACATGTTAAACACCTTTGAGAAACCACAAGTTGCTGCCCTAGGTTACATAGACCTAGAAGTTAATACATAATCTATAATTGCTTGCTTGAACTTTTTTACAGAAATAAGAATTTTAGGTTATTAGGTAAATCATGATGTACTCAAAAATATGTTAAGGGCAAATTTGTGAATCATCATGTTCTGTATCACTTGAGTAAACTCGTGTCCTGTTTTGAATGAATAATCACATTTTTGTCATTACTGTCTTTTGTGTCTATTTCCTTCTTCTGACAATAAAAGACTGGGCTTTAGCTAGCTCTGTATGCTAGCTTGCCTGGCAGCTTGCATCAAACTTGTGTGTCTGTCTT